AGTCTGTCACTGAAGGAGCTTTCTGTGTTGGACACAATAGATGACTAATAGCCATCCAAGGACACTAAATTACTTTTAGTCTGGATTTACAATTTCAGCAAGGACTAAGTCAGTCAGTGTTTCACCAAAAACAAACCAGAGAATAAAAAGAGCAACAGCAAAGAGCTCCAAGTCCAAAACTACAAAATTACATCTATTCAATTAAGTTTATCTATATAGCACCAATTCATAACACGTCATCTCAAGTTTACCAAATTATACAGTTACATTGATTAAAAGTTTTCTATCTATTTAAAACCAGTAGATTGCATCAACTCATTGACTCAAAGGCAATCCTTCACACTAAGCATGCATGTAGCGACAGTGGAGAGAAAAAACTTTTAACAAGAAGAAACCTCCAGCAAAACCAGACTCAGTGTGAGCGGCCATCTGCCAAGGCCGACTGGGGTTCAACAAGACAACATCTAAACATTAAGATCACACATCTAATCTATTCTATGCTGCACACAAACTGAAACCACAGCTCCAGCTCTAACTCTGTGTTTTGTCTAAAAATCAAGCATTTATAGAAAAACTGGTTTTCTAGGGAAGGTAGCACTAAGGATCTAAATGATCCACTTAGCAGATCTACTGTGAGACACAAGACAGGTTAAGAGGTTTGTTGGTACATCTGCTATAAATGTGTAAAACACCTAAAAAGAATTTCTTCTTTTTTGCAGCAAGAGTGTAATTGACATATCAATAAATGTAACATACATGATAAAACCAAACTGAATAAAGGTTTAAAGGAGTGGGAGTTACAATAAATGTGACCCTCTCTAAATAAAAGGACTCTAGGACTCTGGATCTGTTCAATTCTAGTGGTGTTTATGCCAGAAGTACCACAAAATATAACCAGTGCTGTGTGTTAGAGCCCAGTTGATACTCACTTGTCTTTTGGGTCCCCGAAGCCCTGAAATCAGAAAAAACAGAGGGTGGGGACAAGATTAAAGAAATAATATAATGTTCTTTTGACTAAATACAAATTGTTGTACATTTAATATAAAATCCTAATCCATAAAATAGGAGCTCTGATTAAGTTATTTTTCCATTTAGAAAAACCTTTGAAAAAAAGGAAAACCCTATAAGCAGATATTTATCCTCGATGTAGACCACATTTCTATTAAAACCTTTCTTTATTGGTTTAAAGTTATATTTCTATTTTTAATGTGGTGATTAAGATTTGAAAACATCAGTCTGAGAGCAATTATTAGGTTATTATTCTATTTAAAGAGTTTTACTTAGTGACAGACTTTTTTTCTGTCAAGCTACAATTTAATCAGTATGCAAATACAAAGTAAGAAGGTTTTTTTTTAACAATCTTTCAAACAAAAGGTTTATGCATGTATACCCATAGATATGACATTGCCTAAAATTAAAATGCTAAACTTTTCCCACCTATAACAACTGATGTAGTGACTATTTGTGCAAAACTAATATTCAAAAATCAAAAAAACTTAAGACTTAAACGTGATCAAAGCAAAAGGTGAATTTAGGTGAAATAGTCACCTGATGCACCGTGGATTCTGGCTTATGCAGCCCAAAACGACCAAAAACTGGTCAAAATCGAGTTTTTTGTTGCTTTATTCTCTGTTCAGACAAAACAGGTTACAGGCTTAACAGGATTCTGCTGCTGCTCTCATTCTGACTCCTGCACCTGTTCTTTGATTGACTGACTGATTGAGACTGAGACCAAGACTGGCTGGGACTGGTAAACCATATGACCACCCACGTGCATAATGAGCTACCTAAAACCTTCCTATTTATACTGTGAAACACCCACATCCCAAGCTAAAATGAATTAACTAATTAAGTGAATTACTAACCAAAAACCTATTCTAAATAAAAAAATAGAACTAAGTAATCTAAATTCTAAGATTTAACTGAAAATTGAGAAATAGCTCCTATAACTGATTTATGCTTTTTTTTTTACTTTGAGCCTTTTTTTGTCGTAATGTGTAAACGAAGGGTTTTCTGCAAATCAGCCTCTGATTGCATCATGGTCAATCCTATGACAAAAATAAAACGCAAACCTGGTATTATTATTTTTTTTAAATAACCGTTATTTAGGGAGCTGATGACAATGATTGGTCTGAGGCGAGGGAGGGAACAGACGGCAATCATGAAAGGAAATGTTTCCTGTGGGTGGAAAGAAGTCAGCAGGAAGGAATATATTAAGAAGGTAATGCTAGATGAGTGATATTTTAATCCAAATCTATAACCTGTTGTTGATTTCATTACGTGATCTAAACTTTTAAAACTAGATAAATACAACAGTTATCTTAGAAAGACTTGTTTGTGTTGTATAATGCTGTTATTTATCCTATTAGTGAATAAAAAAAAAAAAAAGCATGTGATTTCAGGATGTGGTCAGTATGAGATCTTCAGATACATTTTCCATTCTTTTAACCCTCTTCCAATACAGCTTATTCAGAGCAATGATGACAAACAACATTTAGCAATTTAGCATTTCTCAGACTAAGAGGGTGAAACTATTGACATTTCTAAATATTAACCATCTTCTAATATGTTTAAAGATGCTATTTTACACAAACATTTGTCATCAGAAAACCAGTGCATCTCTAGCACCCTCTTGAGGTGTAATGTGTAATATCTTGTTAAAATAACTATTGTAACCTGTTTGCATTATTTATTTACTCTTTTTTGCAAATTCTTTTTGCTTTTTTCTCCGTTCATGATTATAAAGACATTCTGCATGTTTAGTTTCTCTGCACACGCCCTGCCACACACACACACTTTGTTGCCTTTTCTCTCCTCAGGACCGTCTGTTAATGAACACTGGAGACACAGAAGGCACCACAATGACAGGCGGTTTAAAAGATGATGTATAGCTCACGTAAAAAAATTAGACTACACGGATTGGAAGGGTTTTAAATGAGTCAGGATGCCTTTGCATTCAGTGGGTGGCGCCATTTTCATCTTTTCCTAATCAGTCATGTCTGATTGCTGAGGATACAGCCCACTCCCTCATCTTTGTAACACACTAATATTGCATTGTATTCCTATGAATGCATCTCTGGAACATATACTTTGTTCACAACACATTAACTGGTACTTTTAAATAAAAAAAAAAAAACCTTACATAATTCCTCTTATATACGAAAAGTATACAAAAAAATCTGAAATGATTATGAAAAGACATGATCAAGTGAAAAAGACACCCACTGGTGAGTTTATACCTTCAAAAACTACTTTATTTCCCTGAATGCACTTTTTACCTGCAGAATTTGGCTTCCATAAATCTCTATATAACAGATTTATAACAGGAAGACCTGCCTAGAGATAATGGTGCCCATCCTTCCTTTTCCCTTTGTAACAAATATTGTGAACTTCTCATCTAGAGATGCTTGCACTTAATGAATATGCTTCTGGCCTCAGACGCGGAGCAGCTACAGCACATAAATATAAACCAGAATTTCAATGAGTTCACATCACTCCACCGCAGCATTTCTCACTTGATTGCGGCTGCCTACACGCTGCCTTTCTCCCCTCTTGCCGAGTGCTGCTGAGAGCCTCTCACTGCCAGGGTTAGGTGTGCCATGAAGGGCCATCCCCGCTGCTACTCAGCAAAGAAGATCAAAGGATTATGATCATTAACAGTGTGTAGGCTTCACCACCAAATGAGGCCTGAGATGAGCTACTGGCAGCAGAGTCACCTGTCTGTGGCAGTCTAATAATCCCAATGAGCATAATATTACTACTAAGTGGAGGGCCAGTCTAACTTAGTCAAACATTGGTCAATTTCTTTGAATCTTCCTCACCATCCTCTTCATCTCCTTGGAGATCTGGTTGTAGAAGGGACGATCAGTCCAGTGGCCGCTGTTGTGAGTGACAGAATTGGTCCTCTGTCGACTCATTTTGGCAATCATTGCCTTTTCTTCTTTCTGTAAAACAAAAAGGATACAGAAATTAACTTTGAGCCTTGAAGAAAAATTATATTATATTGGGATTTTTTATTGCATCTTCTCAATTTATTTAGGAATAAGTTCCTTTCAGCAGAGAAACTGAGATATGTTGTTTTCATACAGTGCTTTTGCAAAATGATTCACCTCTCTAGACTTTTTACCTATTTTGTTAACTTCCATCTTCTAATGTAATTGTTTTATTGAGATAATTCAATGTGAGATGCATCTAAACACAAAACTCCAAGTACATTAAATGTAACAATAATAAATCCATCCATCCATCCATCCATGCATCCATCCATCCACAGAAAATATAAATATTTGCTCTCTTTGATAGCAAATTCCTTAAAAGTTACCTTCTCAAATCACAGAGTCAGTGAAATAAGTTAACCTTAGTGGAGCTCAAGTATCTGTCCACAAAATAAGAGCTATGCTTATGATAGAGTTGCTGGGGAAAAAAATCCATTAGTCAGTTTCAATCAGATACTGAGTTTGCCAACATGGAGGAAGATGCTCTGCTAAGACTAAAATGTATATCTTCAGCCAGGAAGGAAAACACTATGTCTGGTGCATCTCATCACCACAATGACACCATTCCTACAGTAAAACATGGAGGTGGTGGAATCATTCAGAGGGTTTGTTGTTCAGCCTGAGTTCAAGGTTGACCTTGATCGGGTGCACTGCTAGATAAGATGTCTACGGTCAGGTCAAAGTTCAGATGTCAATTCAATTGATTATTTGATTAGATAAAAAAAAAAAAAAATACTGTTCACAAACAATAATAAACCTCAGAAATGAAGGAAATGATGTAGTTTTACCTTGAGGAATTGAATGCCCTGCTAAGTTCTGACTATTTGTGTTTGAGGACGGGTTACTTATTTAGTCTTTATCATTGTTTTTTTTTTCTCCAGAACATAATCTTGAGAGTTTTAGGTCTGCTCTTGAAATGAAATGGGAACAACAAATCACTCAAACTATTGATATTATTTCCATATTGTAAGTAAACAAACATGGTAATTTGGTCTGCTCACTTCTTATGGCATTGATTATAAACTAAAACAAGCTGAAACTCTTCATTTCACAAGGCTTGAACATGAAATGCAGAGGTATTCATACACATTTGAAAATAAATAATGTATTCCAAAGCTACTATCAATTTTCTCCCAAGCTGTGCTGGAAATATTGAAAAAAATTTAGGAAGGTTAATGTGTTAAATGAATTGTGCCATAAAACTAAAGCAATGTACCAGGCATTTCTGTTTCACAGATCTAAGGACTGACCAAATAAAACCTTAAACTTCAAAAAAGTTCCCTCTGTCCTCAACCACAGGCAGTGAAATGAGAATAGCATATCACTTCACTTCACATGACATGCTAACTATAGTCGCAGCTTGTGATACTGCCGGGGGAGGAGAGGCTGATAAAAAAGCCAAGTCATAAACAAACTGGAGGCTCATGCACTGATAAACTGGGTCCTATCTGAGAGATAGTTGGTATGGTGCATAATGTCAGTTTACTAACAGAGTGGGGAGCAATGTGGACTGGAACTGTGAACAGGAGTCTATTAAATCAGTTATTTAAAGCAGAATTGCTTTATATTATTTATTTTCTTACTTTATAAAGGCTTTAATCGAGCAACACATGAGTGAGAAACTGTGAAATAGAAGGATAATGAATCAACAGCACAATTGCTAAACAACAAGTGATCAATTATGGGAAATGTATCTTTATCTTTATCTCTTTTGGTTGGATCTATCTCCTCTGATAAAAAGGCTTTGTCTGAATAAAGACAAAGGTTGTGTCTGAATGTCCACCCTAATTATTATATAGTAGATATGCCATTTTAAATGAGTGTTCGTACGTCTAGTGGATAAACAAAGTATTGGACTGGAAATTTCCCACAATGCACTTTGAAAAGTAGTGATCATCCATCACTTCCCGATCCGTCCTGCGTATGCGCAAACAGATATACATCCCAGTGCCCATAAATAATGTAATTATGGTACTAAAATTTCTATCCTTAACTCTCTAAAGAATGCTAAAAAACACATCTCTAAAAAATTTGACAATTTTTGTGAGACAATTTTGATACTTTTTACATTTTCGTCGTTAAACTGCTTCTCTGACGTCATCGGACATGATCAGAGTAGTCTTGCAAAATATGATTAAACCACGTTTATCTGAATTTTAGTTGTTTCGTTCTTTATATTACGCACTATATACCATAATATTAAGACAAAGGAAAACATAAAACTAAAAAAAGACTAGATTTATGTTTAAATCCAAAGCCAAAAAAGTTGGCTCCCGGAAGTTCGTTGGGAAGAGACGAGTCATAAAACAGAAAGGATTTTAAGGCATTTATTTTCTCAGGAAATACACATTATATTTTAGTACTCTTATTATTTTTGGGGAGGGAAAAATGTCATTAAGGTCTTTTTAACAAAATAAAATCTAGGGCGACCCGGATGCACAATTGAGCAGATGCGATTGCGAAGAACGGATCATGCTCCCGGGACGGATCGGGTAGTGACAGTCACTAGACGAGCAGATATATCCTGGAATACTCTTTTCTTAAATCCCATAATGCTTTGCTCTCCTCACAAAGCATTATGGGATGTGTTGTCACAGGGGCCCACTGTCGCCATAGGCTGCCGCTACCCGACAGCAGCGACAAATCTTCTAATGTAATAAAGGGGGGCGAAAAGTGTTGGTCATCTCTGATTTTTTGTTCTATAACCTTAGTCATTTTTAAACTTTGTCAAAACATGTAGTCTTTATGATATTGTTGTCATCAAATGTTCTCTAATTAAAAAAAAAAAAAAAACTCAGGCCTTTGTTTAGAATTACATTTTAAGGTGCTATCTAGACATCTAAATATTATTAGTTAAGTCTGTAGCCCTACTTTCTTTTTTTTTAATCAGTCGTTTTATCTTTTTTATACATACTGCTCTGGGGGTTCAACACAAATGCATGCCAAACAAAGCAAACTGGTGAATACTGGTGGTGACTAGTGGCCTAGTGGTTAGGGCATTGCACTTGGGTCCCAAATGTTTTAAGTTCAAACCCCACTCCCACAGACTGCCTCCATGGGTCCCTGAGCAAGACTCTTAACCCCAGACTGCTCCCCAGGCGCCGCACAATGGCAGCCCACTGCTCCCGAAGGGTACGGGTTAAATGTGGAGAGTCCAATTCGTTGTTTTCTACATGTGACAGTGTAATGACAAAGTTGAATTCCATTCTATTCTATTAAAAACAGAGGCAGTTTCCACAGCAGCTCCTCATCCTTCATTGTTTTTTCATAACTTTAACTATGTTTAATAGCTGAAAACGTTGATTGTAATTTCTACAAACAAAAAAAAAATGTTAAAGCTGTTTATAGCGAATAAATGCTGGTTGAACATTAACTGCTGTTTTCATAAATTAAACTCTAGACAGTTGAAATTGAATGCTCTAATAATTTCTTTGTATTTTTTTTCTAAACGTCTCCCTTCACTACATTACAAATGAAAATGACTAACAAATTTGTTTTTTGCGTTCTACTTTCAAAATAATCTACTTTCCAACTTTAAACAAGCTGGAACATTTTCAGCTATTTTCCGATGTCCACTTCCGCTTTNGTCAAACTTTTGGTGTCGATCATTCGATTTCATCCTGGACACTACAGAAAATGGGCTTAAAGTGTAAAAAACCGAACTTCTCCTTTAATGATACTATTTCTAATTTGCCAATTGTGGGATAGCTCCATATTAATTTCCATCTATATTTCATTTGGTTTTCCATTCTTCTTTGTCCCTTTTAAAGAAAAACATCCTCATTATGATGAAACCACTACCATGTTTTATCATGTGGGTGGTGGGTTCAGGTTACAGTGTCAGCCTTAAGCCACACTACAGTAGTTATTTCTGCCCTGCCTCAAATAGTGCGAAGAGCATTGTCTAGACTTTGACTAGGCCATTCCAACAGATTAACATGATTTGGTTTTAGACCACTCCTTTGCAGCTCTGATCATTTGTTCAGGGATGCCTCCTGCTGGAAGGTGAATTCTGCCTCCATCTTTTTTCCAATCATCTGTACCTTTTGAAGGGTGCAATATGGGTTGTCTTCCAACACAGTGTTTAACGCTAAAAAGTTGATTTATTCAGATTTTCCAATTTAATAGTGAGTGTAGAAAATTCTTAGCCTTTTCATGTTTTTTTTGTTCTAAAACCTTAGTCATTTTTAAACTTTGTCAGAACGTGTAGTCTTTATGATACTGTTGTTATCATATGTTCTCTAATAAAAAAAAAAACTCAGGCTTTTGTTTAGAATTACGTTTTAAGGTACCATCTAGACATCTTAATATTAGTAGTTAAGTCTGTAGCCCTACTTTCATTTTTTTTTTATCGGTCATTTTATCTTTTTTATATATAATCCTGTTAATTAAATGCATCATTTTTATTTTCTTTAACTATTTGTGTTGCCTGTATTCCACTGAACGGTACTTTTTTTTGGTCTCATGTGCAGCGCTTTGATTCGTCTTACCGCTGAAATGTACTACATAAATAATCACCAATTCCGGGAATTATAAGAGAAACTGTTACACAAGATTTCTTTTCAGGGTGTAAGACAAACAAGGCTGAATCCCTGTACCATGTAGTTTAACATCTATACTAGATTAGATTTTAATGTTTAACTCTTTAAATTACTATATTTCACATCTTTATTAAATAAAATGCTCAAAGTTTGGATGCCAGCAGGCAACTTTTATAATACAAGTAAAACTTTTCCCAACAGCCAAAAAAATAAAACATTGCTGCAAAATGTTGTTTCTAATGGTTCCCAGATAATTCTGTCTGCAACTATATGTAAGCAGCCTGTTAGCCTGGATTTCATTTAGGGGTATAAGAGTGATGGGGGTTCAACACAAATGCATGCACTAGTGGCCTAGTGGTTAGGGCATTGCACTTGGGTCCCAAATGATTTGAGCTCAAGCCCCACTCCCACGGACTGCCTCCATGGGTCCCTGAGCAAGACCCTTAACCCCAGACTGCTCCCCAGGCGCCGCACAATGGCAGCCCACTGCTCCCCAAGGGGACGGGTTAAATGTGGAGAGTTCAATTCGTTGTTTTGTACTTGTGACAGTGTAATGACAATAAAGTTGAATTCTATTCTATTCTATTGTGAACAGAGGCAGTTTCTCAAGCAGCTCCTCCTTCATTGTTTTTCCATAACTATAACTATGTTTAACAGCTGAAAATGTTGATGAATGTCATTTACCAAAAACAATAATGCTTAAAGCTTTTTATAGCGAATAAATGCTGGTTCAAACATATTAACTGCTGTTTTCATAAATTAAACTTTTAAGACATTTCGTAGTATTTTTTTCTAAACGTCTCCCTTCACTACATTACAAATAAAAATGAATAACAATTTTGTTTTTTGCGTTCTACTTTCAAAATAATCTACTTTCCAACTTTAAACAAGCTGGAACATTTTCAGCTATTTTCCGATGTCCACTTCAGCTTTGAATCAGTAATGAATCCTCTACCCTTTTCTGGCTGCAGCCCACAATGAGGTAGGTTTCTATATTGTTCCTCTTCAAGTAGGCGTTTCTCTCTCCTCCTGCTCCCGGTTCCACATCATAGTCCCCATTCAGATAATTCAGAGTGGCTTTGGTGATGTGGATGCGCCTGAAATGAGAGCATGCCATTATAGTCTGTTATGTAAACCTCCACAGCTGATCATCCACACTTAAGCATGAGCTTGTAGGAAGAGAAAATGGAGAACAAAGTTTATTGGACAAACCCAGCTGAGCCTCCTGCTTCCATCTGATTTGCTAGTGTGACATCATTGGACCAGACATCAAACTGCCACTTCCTGAGTCCCAGCACCCCGCAGTGAACCCTGCCGCTGTGGATGCCAACTCGCATGTTCACATTCACCCCTGTCACCTCCCGTACCAGTCTGTAAGAAACATAGAAGAAAAAGAGGGACAATTTAGACAGTTTCTGAAATCACCACAATCCAGAATCAACCAAGAACATATGATAGACCTTTGTACTGTGCATTGCTAGCATCAGGCACATTTTCATTGCTTTCATCGACGCTTGAAAACCCGGGAAGTGTATCCATACATATTCAGCTGGGTAAATTCACCTTAGTGGGACTTTGGACCCTCCAGAGAGGCAGTACGGTTTTTAAGTGGTGGTTTGTGTACAGCTGCAGTGCTTTATTCAACGAGTGGCATAAGTAACCGATGAAGTTGAGTGTTAAAATGTTGTGTTACATGCCCTATGCTTATCACAGAATAAGTTTTAAGATGTTTGTGAGTGAGAAAGTACACGTCAGAACTTATCTATGTAATTAGTGTGTCCAGAAATTGCCCTGTTCTAACTTTGTGATGAAGTGGCAGAGTCCCGGTCTTCAGGCAGGCTGGTGCTTACTGATACTGTCACACCTTGATGATTTAGCCAACTCATGCCGACGTACGGAAAATTAGGCAAAGACGCTGGTGTACATTGGAAAAGTTATGGGTAAGTTTTGCATAACCTATGAGCACCCTGGCACACGTTGACATATGACAAATACTTCAAGAAATTTTACGAATGCCAACGTACGCTCATACGTGGGCCATAAGTTACAGGTAAGTTATGTGATCGTTGACACACACTAATATTAGGTTACTCATTAGTTGTGGTGTCTAGCTTATCCAAAACCTAAGAGTAAATTGTGCGTAACTTACACTTAACTTATGAAGAACTTATCTCCAATGAATATCCACATATGCTGCTATATTTGATGTGTTTCAGCACGTCAGGGGGGGGATCATTGCTACCCCCCTCAGGACACTGACTTGTAACATATCATTGGGATTAGGCTAATGTGATATATGCATAAGTTAGGCTGTCGATGGACATAAGTTCTGGAGTCATTTTGAATACTCGATGTATACGCCCAAAATTGAAAAAAATAAATAGAAAATTGAGTGTATTCCAGCGTTTTAGAAGATTCTAGGACATTGGCAAATGCTGGCTAAATCGTCAAGGTGTGACAGCGCCATGATAGAGGGAATATGAGTTGACTGTCATCTGTTACCAATCGTCCAATGTCTCAAGCTTCTATTTCATATAAATAAATGCTTATGTGGACACATGGATTAACAGGTAACATCTTGACTAAAAATGTTTTCCGTTTGTTCTATGGATATCTGGGATTTTCCTGGTTAATAAAATGAAAGAAAATGACTGTTAATTAGCTTTTAGTGACTCATAGATTAAAAAAGCTACTGTGCCAGATGCAGGTTGATGAAAAATTATATGTCAATTTTTTTTAAGCTTGGGGATTACTTCTACGTAGCTGGTCAGCACTGGAGGTAAAGGGAGATCCACTTGTATATTCTTATTCCAGCCACCTGCTGGAGTGATGGTGTAGTGCGGTTTTTCTCAGGGGGATTGTCGGGGGGCTTTCAGAGTAATGGAAAATTACTCAGATTAATTATCTGGGATTCTTATTACCTAGGTACAAATCCTGGGGCTTTCAGTAGAAAAAGGTTGATCATGACATTGGATCAGGTGTTCTTCAACTTACGAGATGGCTTCTATCATGTCAAGCCCCATCTCTACACAGCAGTGAGCATGATCAGCTCTCGCCTCTGGCAGCCCAGACACACAGTAGTAGCAGTCCCCCAATATCTTGATCCGCAGACAGTGGTTCTCCTGTGAAAGAAACAAGAGAAAGAAAGGATAGGTATATTCTAGTATTAACTAAATGTCATATAAAAATTATAGGGGAGGATTTTTGCAAGTTTTTGAAAAGACCAGTCCTCTCCACTTAAAAAAAAAATGCACATGCGCAACCCTGTACCTGCTCCTGAGAGGGAATGCCTATTAAACCTATGCGAGAGCATGCACAAACCCATTTCTCTTCATGCACGCTCTGTTTAAAAGTGTCCGCTTGCATCACTCATACAAGCTTACTTTCCAAAAGAAGATTTACAATTTTTCGACTATGTCAGACTCACCACTGGTAAGTGAAAATGGGGACGAGCACGTAGGACGGCCTTACGTAAACATATCACCAGAATGATTGACAATTTGGGGGGACACTTATTTTGATGATACACCAGGAAAAAGAACATCTTCCACTATACCTTTTAAAAAAATCTTATATTTTTTTGTCTGCCAAAATTCCCAGTCAGCCAGGTCATGGCAAAACAGGCTTAAATCTAAGGCAATCAGAGTTTTGCTCAGTTTTTCTAAAACCATTCTGACATCTATCCTCTCTTTGTCAATACGGTTTGACGGAATCTGTAGTTGCAGCACTGATGTCTTTAAGCAATCAAAGTCCATTCTCCCAAGGACGTTCTAAGTCAGATGCAAATCAATTACCCACCCTTACTCTTTGGTTGCTGGAGTCTGTTTTAGAGCATGAGTTTTGTGTTTTAGAGCATGAGTTTTGTGTTTAGCCATCTAAATGGTGATGAGTGTGCTTGGGTAACATCTTTGAAATGAGCACAAGAACCAGATTCTAGATGCTTGAAAGCTCAAAATGCAACTCTTCTTTTCTGTTCATTGATGGCTTTTCTCTTTCAACCTCTTTCAAACCATCTTTCCAAAATCCGAGGTAGTTGACACTTGTTTACTCAACTGTTAGAAATATTTTTTTGGGCATAATTGGGACAGAATTAAAAGTTGATTGTAAATCAAATGTGGGCCCATCGAGAAAAATGTAAGAACCACTGACTTTACAGACACTATGGTAAAAACTTTGTCAGGTAGGTGCAGGTTAGTTTAGTTCTGCTTGTGATGCAGAACCTTGCCCTAATGTTGTTGCACACCACAGGAGTACCAGATGCAAACCAAAAAATAATTCTGCCTTAACAAGCCTCTGGACATCACAACCTTCAGACACAAAAGACATCTTAAAAGCAATACATATAATGTAATTTAGGGTGGTGAAGAAGGAAATCCAAATTTTCAAGACTCACCAAAGAGAGTCAGAGTATGGCATTTGTTCCCCAAAAGTTAGCATTGAAAAAAGGGACCTGCAACTAATGTGGATTTGCCTGAAAACAACTCTTTTAAAGCTGAATGAGACTCACTCTTAAAAGAAATACAAGTAAAAAGAGATTTCATTAAGGGAGACAGAGTGTTATTGTGGAGTTTACAGAATCAACTTAAGGGGTCCAGGTAGGAAAAGGCAATGAGGGCATACAGAAAGAAGCTGGAAAGGAAACTCTAGCAGAACAATATCAGAGATGTGTGGTCATGGATGAAGAAGATCACGTTTTAGACTAAAGGGAGATCAGACAGACTTAAGTCTGGACAGAGCCAATGAACTGAATACATTCTTCACAGATTCCATTTAGGAACAGGTTGAGCATCCTTCTCTCCTGCCCACAGTCAGACATCTCCCATCTTTGACCGAAAGCTTTTTCATCACACCTCAAATGTTTTACCTCTACCACTGACTCTACTACTTCTATGAATTTGTTGTCATCCAAATCAGAAGATGAAACTACTCTCTCCACCTTCCACCTGTCTGTCTCTAATAGTCAAGTGAAGAGACAACTGGAGAGACTGAATCAGGATAAGTCCCTCAGCTGACACCATGGTGTCGGGCCCAGAGTCCAGAGCAGCTCTGTGGTTTATTACAGCACCTCTTCAACCTTCGCCTGACCAGGAGACATTTCCGATGATATGGAAGACCACCTGCCTTGTTCCAGTACCAAAGAAAACTCAGGCAAAAGTCCTCAGTGACTATAGAAATGTTGCACTACCCCACATCATGAAGGTCTTAGAGAGACATCTGTTGGTTCACCTCAACAAAACAAAGAAGCAGCCATCAGGACCCCTGCAATTCGCTTATCATTAGAGTTGGTGTTGAAGTTCCCTGCATTCACCTGCTTCAACAAACCCACTGTCATATAAAAAAGGCAGGACACACTGTGAGAATCATATCATTTGATTTCTCCAGCGCATCTACCACAATTTAGCCTGACTTACTTTGTCAGAAACTCAAGAAGACTCGGGTAGAGGCATCAACAATTGCCTGGATCAAAGACCACCTAACAAATAGACCACAGTGTGTTAGACTGAAAGGTCAACTATCTAATCAAGGAGTCAGCAGCACAGGGGATAGTACTCTCACCATTCCTTTTTACTCAGTATATCTCAAATTTCCAGTAGAAGACAGAGTTCTGTCATCTGGAAAAATAGTCAGATCACTGTAGATGTCATGTGCATCAGGAATGGACTAGAAGCTGAGTATCTGATCCTGAAAGTGAGAAAAACAAGGGAGATGATTGTAGATCTCGGAAGAAACAGGAAAAGGATGGATCCTATTAAAATGATAGGAAAAGAAGTGGAGGTGGTGGAGGTGTGTAAATACAGCCGTGAAATCATACAGAAGGTATAGAGCAGACTATATTTCATTAGGAGGCTTAGGTCCTTCAGCATTTGTAGCAAGATGTTATATATCTTCTATAAGTCTGTTGCGGAGAGTGTGGTCTCTTCTGCTGGGGTAAAAGCATCAGAATAAATGACTGATGGAAGAAAAACAAGCTGATTAAGGAGGCCACCTTTTTTATGAAGTCTCTAAAGAGAACTTAAAGTAGAAATTTTCAATAAAATAAAGAGCATTTTGAACAACAGCGAGAATCTTCTTCAAATGATTGTTAAACTCCAACAGAGTGTCTTCAGGAAAAGACTTCTCTAAATCCGGATCAAGACAGACCCCTAGAAAAGATTTTTCCTGCCTATAGCTATCAACATCTACAACCACTCATTAAACAAAAAACATTTGCGCTAAGACATCTCATTTCCCTTTGGGATCAACACAATATTTTTGAGTTGAATTGAATTACAATAAAATTCCTGTGCTCAAAAACAACAATGCATGCACAATAATTTTGCTTAACCTTTTTGACTTGTTTGCAATACAGCAGCACAAAAGAACACAGAAATGGACAACGTAGCAACAATTCACGTAATACGAAACAATATGATATAAATGACAGCTTTACCTTGTTAAACTAAACAACATTTACTGGTTGTTGCATTTCAAGTGAAGAAAAAATGTCATCTAGAATAAATCCAGCTGCATATTCTAAAGCTTCAACAGTGTAAGCCTAATTAGCTGAATTCTTGGAGCATCATTTAGTCATTAAAGCACCAAGGGTTTAGCAAACAGAGGGTCTAGTGACAAAAGTAGGGCTTGAAATGCTAAAGGAAGCATTCAATCTATCAAAACGATACGGAAGCAGGGGTCTCACTTTGGATTTAAGACTCATAAACATGCAAGTCAGCATCAAATTAGTTAATTTCTGTATATGGATGTGTGTGTGTGCACATCCTTAGGGCTCAGGAGACTACAGTGTCTCATGATAACCACCTGAGCATCTTAGCAGCACATGGAGCAAAACACAAAAGGAGCCACTGTGTAAGGAGCACAGCGAGCAAATGTGTGTGTTTGTGTGTGCATGAGTGTGTGTTCCTGTGAACACAGAGACAGAAGGTACATCTGGCATGGAGATTAGTGTCAGATGCCACATTTCTGGTTTACAACACCATTATGGCTGCTGGGTTCATAAATATTGATTAAAGGCCGATCATTTCACCTTTCATAAACAAATGACACACATTGAGGATCAGCTCAACCAACGATGACGTTGCTGGATGAGAGAAATGCATCCATATTAACAGGTTTGCCGTTTTAAAAGCTTGTGGTGAAAGTATGAAACCTGCACTGCTTCAGTAATGATAGTAAAGTGTTAGTAAAGTATTTAAAGTTGCTTTATGGTTATTACCAAGTTGATGGTGGTATGGAAAAATTAAACTGTTTTTATGATTTTGATGAAAAGTCATCCACATGACTTTTCAAACTGTGGGCTTTATATTTTAAAACATGTTTCAAAATAATTTTTTCACAAATAAATTTTTTTGTTTTGTAACTGTGTAAACAAATAAAATTAGATTTAAAATTCCGCCCGACATGTCTGACTAAAAAACTGAAACTAGAGGCTATATGACAGACTGAGACTGTGTCCTAATGTCCGCCCTATTCACTATATAGGGCACAATAGTGGTTACGCCATTTTAGATGAGTGTCCGAACTCCTAGTGAATTAAAAAGTAGTGAATTCGTAATTTCCAACAATGCACTTTGGAATGTAGTAATCATCCATGGTCACTAGACGAGCACATACATCCCAGAATGCTTTGCGAGGAGAGGTGTTCTTGGAAAGTATTATGGGATTTGTTGTTACATTTGACGTCTGTCGTCTACAGCTGTCACTACCCAACAGCGGTGACAAATAACAAAGATGGCACAGAGGTGTGCGTGTAGAGAGGCAAAGTTAAGTGACCAACGCGGAGAGAAAAGTAGTGATCATCTGTCTGATCGGTCACTAAATTGATTTCACCATAAAGTCCACTATATAGTACCCACTATATATAGTGAGTGGTGGATTTAAGGGTTAGGGAGGACGTTCGGACACAGCCTGAGTCTTACATTGATGATGTGTCCCTTTTTGTGTTAGGAACAGTAGTGATCATCTGTCCAATTAGTCAGTTAACTGATTTCACCATAAAGTCCACTATATAGTAACCACTATATACAGTATAGTGAGTGAGGGATTTAAGGGTTAGGGAGGACGTTCGGAAACAGCCTGAGTCTTACCTTGATGATGTGTCCACGTTTGTGTTAGGAACACGAGTCTTCTCTTTTTCCTGATATTCCTAGTGGTTCTGGGGAGGATTAACTAGAGTTTGGGCTTTTTGTAGATTGGTTTAATTAATCCTGTCTGGTCTTTGAGCATGTGGCTTTACCTTGAGGCATTGCACAATGGTCTGGATCTATTTAGAAGTGGCCATTTGGCTTCTGACAGTTCTATAGCACTGTCGGTAGATGGAGCCATATCCGCTTATCTCAGCTCATTGCACCCAGTGCAGGAGTTCTATTTAGTCTCAAAAAGGATTATCTAAACCCCAAGTGCACAAAGGGGACCTCAAGGACCACATGGGGTGCTCTCACAGTCTTCTGAGAATGCAAAATGGAACTCACCAGTGGGCTAACTTTAAAATTTTATTTTAATCTGTTGCCCTTATTTTTTAATCCTTTATAAAGCATTTCAAAATGGCATTGTCTAAAATGAAATTAGAACTTAAAAGAAACAATGAAAATATGTTTATAATGTATGAAGTTTCGGTGAACGCAGTTCATGGGTCAGTATTGTTAGCCCTTCCTATGACTCCGTACCCTTGAAGTGACTCTCAGCCTTGAAAAGGTTGGTGACCCCTGATCTAAATACTATCAGGACAGATGCTGGGTGTACATAACTTTATTTTATAATGATCAAATGTTTTTTTTAATCTCTTTTGTAAAGATGTATAATGTGACTATGTACCTTTAAGAAAAGAATGCAATTCCAAGTATTAATGCAGTTATTGAAAATTATACATGCATACATGTGTTTACATCCTTACCGCTGCCAACTTGTCAAAGCGGGCGAAAAGTTCATTGAGAGTCATCACTAACTCCTGTGCAGTGCATTGTGAAGCCAGACTGGTGAAGCCCTCAATGTCAGCAAACAGGATGCTGCAGAAATACAGAAAAACAAGAAAAATCGAACCAAACGTTCTCCATACAGCACTGTTTCTTTAGTTTGCCAGCAAACAGCAGTATATCAAGTTTGCAAAAAGTAAACTTAATATACTGTTAATACTATTGTCTAAAAAGTTGTTTACAGATTAAAATACAGATTTTGACAGCAAATTTGGACTTAAGGTTAACCTAATCGTGTTTTATTTTACTTTTTTCATTCAAATATATTTTAGATTGTAGGTTTCTAAATTTCTAGGTCCACTTTTGCCATAGAGTGACTAATCAATGAAAGGGTCAAGCATCCCAATATGGTTTTATTTTCAAAATGTTTGCATCATATAAACTTGTGAAAACTTTAAAGCATGTGCAAAGCTGAGCTTCTAAATTGGTGCAACTTCAACTGAGTGTCTACATTGAACGGAAACAGGCACACAATTTATAGCCTATGTGCCATCATGAACATGAAGCTCATATGCTAACCAAACCCTGTAAAATTTGTTTGTGGGGGGAGGATACTTGTGTAAACATTACCACTTGTGAAGTTATTTATCAAACCGGAAACTAGCATATGATAATTCAGAGGGGCTGCAGAGAGTAGAGGCAATGGAAAAATGGTATAAACACAGTGCCTGAAGCTAAAAATGTCATCTTCATAACACAACAAAACTTAACATTTGCAGCCGCTGGAGAACAAAAAACTATCAAGGAACCCGTGAAAGAATCTTGCAGAACCCCTCCCATATACAGCTGAAATTGCTGATCTATTTTTCCCCAACCACACAGAAGTACATGCAGTTTCCTCATTTTAGGGTGTTCCAAACCACTTTTGCAAATGTTACCTTTGCATATCCTATGCAACCTATTTTGTTGCATAGGATATGCAACATATCATATGTTGCACAAGCAATACATTTCTCCTCAATGGGAACCTTTGAAGATCAGGCCTTAAGTTTGCATGATACTCAACATTAGGCACAAAGGTATAAAATCACCGGTGAGTGACGACCTGACTGCACAAGCTTTCAATAAATTAAATCTATTTTATAAGGAAGTTCAAACGGAGCAAGGGAATCAGTTACTATCCGAAGGAGAGGCAATATCAGCATTGTTTACAGCACCCGGAAGAGACATGGGAACATTGTTTACAGTACCTAGGATCTTGTGGAATAAAGTTGTTCAGCACTTAAGTCCTCATGTTTTATTGACTACAGATTTATTATATTCTGAAAGTTGAAGTTATCCAGAAGGGTGAGAGCCAGAGAACAGTTGTCTCCCTCCATGCATCCCGGCTGGCAGGCTGCTCAGTGTGAACCACGCCTCGAGCAGCATGACATGCTGTGACTCTGACACAGATAAGTGTAAATGATGGATGAGAAGTAGTTTCACATCACACAGATGTTATTAAGCAAGCTTAGCATGACTGCTATTGTTTCAACTTTATGAAAGGATTTTGTATATTTCATAGACTGATTGTATACTTATAGCATACCCGATTGAGTGTTTAGTCACACATTAATCTAAACATGAAAAATGTTTTATGTGATCAGCACAAAGTGCTGTACATCTGTGAGGCAGAAGGAAAAGACTACATGCTTTATGGTTTTAGTTTTAATTCAGAAATAAAATAAATAGATAGGAATGCAAACGTATTCAGAGCACTTTTCTGAGAAAAAAAATCAGTGCAATCGTTTTTTTTAGTTTCTAACTAATTAGTAAAGTGATTCTTCACTGCAATTTAGTAGCAGAAATACATCATTTTGTGAAAGCATCTGAGGTTGCCTGTTTTAGGTAACATTAAGATCAGAAATGCACCAGACAGGTTTAAAGTTGTTCAATAAATTTTACCAGCTTGGCTTATAAAATGCATGCAAAGGTTAAATAAAAAAAAAATGCTGTTTAATTGATTCAAAGGAATTGGTTTAAAGTTTCTCTCAACTCAGGTAGAAGGTAAAGAAACATTTTTAAGAAGGAATTCTTATAGGACGAGACAACAGTTTGGCCTAAACACAAACAGGTTAAGAACTAAAATGGTGCATTATCCTCAAAATACAATCCCCATCACCAAACAGCGTGATGATAAAGACAAGATGCAGCCATTCTTTCTCTGTAGCACACATAGGAAAGCTGCTAATTGAAGGATAGTTGGAGCTAAAGCAGTAAAACAATCCTGGAAGGAATCATTAGAAATTGGCGAGAGCTCCCTTTCAGCAGAACAACCCCAAACATACACCAACAGTTATAATATCATGGTTTCAATTAATGCATATTTAAATATTAGAATGGCCCATTAAAAATCCTAGAACTAAATCCATTTGAAATCTATTTGAAAATCATGCATCATCCTTCCTACAACCACTAAAAACCTTTGAAGTTAGTGAAAGATTAAAGTAGCATGAAATATTGATTTAAAACACTTTGAATGATATAGATGTTTATATATATATATAGGGGGGTGTTGGCCTAATGGTTAGAGCAGTGCAATTATGCTCTGAGAAGTTTGCAAGTACCCGGTTTCATCCCCATGAGCCTGCACTCTGGGTTCCTGAGCAAAACCCTTAACCCCACACTGCTCCCAGGGCTCAACAATGGCACCCCACTTCTCCCTAAGGGAGCTAAGGGTCAAATGCAGAAAGTGCAGAGAGTGAATGTCCCCATTATGGGACAATAAAGGGATTTGCATATACAATTACCTAAAAATTTATTTATCTAAAAATGAGTAATAATGAAAAAAGGAAGGAAAACAGCTTTGCAGACCCCTTCCAACACTGCTTTGCATTTCCTCTAAACCTATTTAAAACAATAAAAAAAAAAATCAAATGAAGCCGTTTGAAAAAATTTTAAATATGATTTGATCCAGTTTTGTGCTATTTAGACAGTTAAACAAGTTGCGGTTTAGCAACCAATAACCTAAAAGGAAACAGAGGGTGTTTTAAATTAAGAAGCTTTTGCGAAAAAGTCAAAAAGACTAAGCAAATCGGGCGGCTTTTAGGGTAGAGAAGTAAATAAAATGGAATAGCATAGAAGGGGTTGGACTCAAAACAAGCAGCTTTGAAAACTAATGCTGGAAGTTTTAGATGCGTCTTGACCTTTATGGTGAATAAGATATTTTAATTAAAAAGCTTAAATTCACATTTATTCTATCTAAAATCAGTGCCAGAAATTTAGCTTATCATGTTTCTTTTTGTTTGAAGTTAAACTAAATCAATAGAAACGTGTAATGGATTGGTAATTTGTAAAGGGTGTAGCTTGGCTCTGGACTGGACCAATGGGCTGATTGCTCGACCTCTGCTTCATTAACATGGGAACAGTTTTTCCCTGATGGAGATGTTTTTATTTTTTCCCAATTTGGCAGCGGCTCAGCAGCAGGACTGATGATCTCACCAGGCTGAATTATTTCTCTCAGCATGCAGTCCGTGCTGACAGGCTAGCCTGTAATAGTCTGGGCAAGACTGGCAGATTGGCCTTACATGCACTCACAGAAAAAAGCCTGTCCTCACTAACTCAGGTTGTTTTGTAAAAGATTAGTCCTGCAGCACAAAAAGTCATGTTCTGCGCTCAGCTTTCTTCTCTCAATGACCATATTCTTTCTTTGATTTCCATGTTTTTCCTTGGGTGAAACATGTGATGTAGTGAATTCAAAATTGAAAGAAATAAATGAACATTGTTTCGTTTGTCCCCATTTCTCTTTATGACTTAATTTTTCTTCTCATGTTAAAAAAAAGAAATAAAAAAAACTTGAAAGTAAATAAAGTTGAAAAATAATCATAACCAATTTCAAAATATTTATCAAATTTCTTCAAAAACTAACTAATACTCTAATAAAATATATTTTATTATATATATATATATATATATATATATATATATATATATAAAATAAAGTACTTTAATAAAGTATCTCCAGTGTAGTAGACTACACTAAATATGGTTTGTTAATTCTTAAATAATATTAAAAAAGCAAAATAATGTATTTTACCGACCTCTATCTTCTAAACAAGAACTATGAACTACAGGATCAGTATAAAGGAAAGGACCACAGGTCGGATTCGAACCCGGGTTGCCCACGTCGAGGACTAAGGCCTCCATACATGGGTCATGTCCGCTCACCACTGCGCAATCAAAGCACGCCCATAATGCAACTTTTTGCAGAGAAAGAGTAAAATGGCAGATTTTAAAAATAAAAAAAAACATCAATAATATGAAATAATATATAATAGTATTTAAACATGCTTCTTTTGGTTGTGTGGTCCTTGGTTTCCTGGGAACATGATTATGGAGTATATAAAGCAGGCCGACACATTGCATTTCTCCAGTTGGGTCAGTCAGCGGTAAGAAATACCTGAATCAGTGACAGTAAATTAGCAGCTGCAGTGCTTCAGGGTGGATGGGGAGATGGTCTCGTCCAGCTGCTTTTCAGGGTTTTTTGCCTACTGAACAATTTATGAAATGTAAAAGGTAGGGAAGGGGGTGGAGGTGAGGTAAAATGTTCTGTATCTTGTAGGGAGGATGAATGGTTCACTCTCAAAGTGACAGTAAAACTGGTTTTGCTTTATTTGATAGTTTTGGGCAATGGTTTGTAATCTGCAGAGATGGCAAAAGTACTCACTTTCCGTACTTGAGTAAAAGTACAGACACTTGTGTTAAAAAATACTCTGGTAAAAGTGGAAGTACTGATTAAACTTCTTTACTCAAGTAAAAGTAACAAAGTACAGGCTTGTAAATTTACTTAAAGTATAAAAGTAAAAGTAGAAACCACTTTTTTCATGCCGTTGCCTACATTTTAAATGGATGTCTGCCAATAGGACTAGATCTCCATTGTGTTCATTTTCAATCATCTCGTCGTCCATGCTACTATGCTAACGCCACCGCCACCAAGCTGCAATGATTTGCCGCCAATGAATACCGCCGAATCTGTCGATTCATCTTGTAGTGGTGCGTCAAATGCAACGTAGATTCCCATCCAATTAGATTGAATTTGGTATTGATGATGTGAA